TACAACTCCATACAGGCGTATATCAGTACATAACATCAGAGTTGCGAGTTGTTAGTCGCTAGGCTTTGCATGCTGCGGGAACAATCTGCGACACGTGTCGGCGACGCCAAGGCAGATGCTGCTTCTTATTAAACTTTCTGCTCTTACCGATCATCGGATATTATGGAAATGAAGTACGGTTGTAACTCGGGAAATGAGAGGATTACTACGGCTGCGGAGTTTCCTCTCCGTCACCGCTGACGACTGCATCAGACACTTCCCCAACTTGTTTTACGCTCTGATGTAGACACGTTTTATGAGATTTTATCGGCTGGGGAATAATTTATGGGCTCCGAGAATCTTACGGTAATCAACAGTTCCAGGATGCAGGGTACATAAAAAGTGAGTCTTGCTAGCAACACTTGATTTCTATGTCTCTTTGTATACAGGGTTATCCAAATTAAGTGTCAGTAACTTTGTTATTAGTGATAATACAAAGTTGTTTGAATTAGCAAACTAGTAGCATTTTTAACGCTGGTAAAAATGAGAAATAAAAAAAAACAATTGAGAGTCGTTATTTTGATTTTTTCAGTAAAATAACATTTTTTTAAATGGAAACCCCTGTATATTATATTTTTTTCTGTTAAAGCATCAAATTTTAAACAAAAAAGCTTACAATAACTTTTCTCCTAGGTTACAAATTGTTGAAGTTATGGCCTCCAATCTGAAACAATTAAATTGTATCGACAAACTTTATTTTCAACATCAACTTATAATCTTACAAAATACAATAACAATTATTTTTAAAAAGATGCTCGAAAACACCACCTTGTTCTTCAATACATTTTTGGGCACGTTTTTCAACTGCTCGAACTGTCTTAAGTATGGTCCTACCATCTATCTGGGTTATCTTTTCCCTAACTGCAGTCTTTAACGCGTCAAGGTTATCGTACCTTCGCTTGTAAATTTGGTTCTTTAAGTAACCCCACAAGAAGTAATCAAGTGGGTTTAGATCTGGTGATCTGGGAGGCCACTGTATTGGGCCATTTGTTCCTATCCACTGATCATTAAAAGTAGTACTTAGAAAATGATAAGTACCTCTGGAGTTGTGGGCAGGTGCGCCATCTTGCTGAAAATGCAGATGATGTCTACTTATAAGATACAATTCGTCTAAGAAATTAGTCAGAATTTCTGACAAAAATTCCACATATCTTTCACCAGTTAGTGTTCCCTCATAAAAGAACGGGCCAACAATTTTTGAACCAATTATACCGCACCAAACGTTGAAACTGAAACGGACTTGTGGGCCTCTTGGATGTACTAACAAAAGATTTTCTCTTGACCAATAATGGTGGTTTTTTCTATTAAACATTCCAGAATTTGAAAAATTTGATTCATCTGTCCATAAAAGGTAACGAAAGTTATTTACATTTTGGCGACAGAAGCTAAGATACCAATGGCAAAAAACAAGTCTTCTCTCTGGATCCCCTGCCAAAAGCGTTTGAACTGGTCGGTACTTATACGGAATAAATTTGTATTTTTTTAAAATCCTTTGAACAGTACCATAACTGAAATTAGAGTCCTTGAGAATATCTGCTATTGAATTCTCACGATAAGCTTCAAAATATCCAATAACTGCAATTTCCGTGGCCTCGCTTATAATGAATTCTTTTTTTGCCGTTGTTTTAGCAAAAACATTTTCGTTGCCCCTAAATTTTCGATAAAGTCTCAGAAAATATCGTTCATACGGTTGAATGCGAGCGGGATATAATTCACTGTAGTATTCTCTTGCTCTCAAGGAGGATTTTCTGCACACTAAATAGCATTCTAACATATCACACTTTTCTTCATGGGAGAACATTTTTCTTTAAATTAATGACACAATAAAGCTTATAAACAAGTATTTACACTAATGTTTGACATTATTTGATTTTATCATTGTTTTCCAAAGCCTTCTAGTTGCGAGTATGTCCAGTTTAACAATTTGTCGCTTATCTTAATGCTGTCAAATCACGAACGCCATGTTGTTTTCATAGCCGTCTTAATATTATAATACTGCAAATAATTAAAAATATTTATCGTTATTTTGACTTTATTTTTGACTTTAGCGGAAAAGTCATTATGAACTTTTTTGTTTAAAATTTGATGCTTTAACAGAAAAAAATATAATATACAGGGGTTTCCATTTAAAAAAATGTTATTTTACTGAAAAAAATCAAAATAACGACTCTCAATTGTTTTTTTTTATTTCTCATTTTTACCAGCGTTAAAAATGCTACTAGTTTGCTAATTTAAACAACTTTGTATTTTTACTAATAACAAAGTTACCAATGGTGGACACTTAATTTGGATAACCCTGTAGATTGGCATATTCCAGTAGAACAGTGGTCGCCAACCTTTTCAGTGTGTTGAGCTACTTTGATAAGTTTGGAATAAACAGTGCGCTACCTAGTCGTAAGCAATGTAAGCATACGCATAAGTACATGTGTTTATTTTCCTAATACTAATACATACTAATAAACTTAAATAAACTAATACGAGGGATGTCTTTTAAGTTTTGCATATAAGGGTTGTCCAATAGGGACGCAGGAAAGTAAACTTCAATTTGACATAGACGCCATCTTTGTTTTCTGTCACATGTCATTTTGTTAGTTGATAAACATTCAACCCTTGATCGCTATGGAGTCGTGTTCGATTGAAGGCCGCATTAAAGTTATTCAAGAGCACTACAAAAATGGTGCAAAAATAAAAAACACGTTTCGCGCGCTTCGTGAACATTTCGGTCGCAACAACCGCCCAAACGAAACAACCATCGGTCGTCTGGTGCGTAAATTCGAGGCAACAGGTTCTGTGGCAAATCTGCCAGGCTCTGACCGGCTAAGGAGCGTTCGCACACCGGAAAATATTGCTGTTATGAAGGAGAGTGTGAGAGACGATCCGAAACAATCAACAACGCGTCGATCCCAAGAATTGGGCATTTCGAGGACCAGTTTGCTCCACATTCTCCACGAGGATTTGAATGTACACGCCTACAAGATCCAATTGACGCAAGAGCTGCGTCGGGCCGACCATTTTTCGCGCCGAACGTTCTCAGATTGGCTCCTTGAACACCGCCAAATTGATGCCAATTTTTCATCAAAAATCATGTTCAGCGACGAAGCGCATTTCACTTTGAATGGGACGGTAAACAAGCAAAACTGCCGCATCTGGGCCAACGAAAACCTCGTGAGTATCAAGAGCAGCCGATGCAACCTCAAAAAGTGACTGTGTGGTGTGCATTGTGGTCAAAAGGCATCATCGGACCTTACTTTTTCGAAAATGCGGCCAGGTACGCCGTTACCGTCAATTCTGAGCGATATCACGTGATGATAGAGGACTATTTTTTGCCGCAACTTGGAGGAATGGATATGGACGATGTTTATTTCCAACAAGACGGTGCAAAATGCCACACAACCAACGTCAATATCCATCGATTGCAGTCCTTCTTCGGTGATCGCGAGATTTCGCACAGAGGAAATGTGCCATGGCCACTAAGATCGTGCGATTTGTCTCCCTTGGACTTCTTTTTATGGGGATATTTGAAAAGCAAAGTCTACGTCAACAAACCAGCAAACAAACAAACCTCCAAGAACTCAAAAACAAATGCCATAGAACCGACCATGTTGCAAAATGTCATTGAAAATTTCGACCATCGCGTGGACGTCTGTAAATCCAGTCGTGGTAAACATTTGAGCGATATTATTTTTCATACATAAATGGTATAAATGAACCTTCAAAATAAAGTACCCAACTTGATTTCGATATCAATCTTGCTTGTTTTAATATGCGTTTACTTTCCTGCGTCCGTTTTGGACAAGCCCATAGAAACATAGTAGGCCGCGCGAATCGAAGTTCAGTACTGAATCTTAACCTCACTTTTTAGTACACTTAAATTCAAAGTTTCACAACAATACGCGCAGTGTTCTCACTACAGTGAATTTTTAAGTGTCACCAAGTCATTAGAAAAATGGAACTCAACCGAGAACATTTTCGCGCCATAATTTATTACAACTTTCAGAGACAATTATCGCAACAAGAATGCCTTGCTGAGTTACTGTCTGTTGATTGAGGCGTCCTTGAAGATCTCAAAGACCTCAATTCAAAAATTTTTACATGAAGAATTATGAGTAAGAAAATTAGTTTCTCGTTGGATACCCCACCTGTTGACTGAAGAGCAGAAAGCAGCCAGGGTTAATTGGTGTCAAAAAACGCTTGACCCTTTCAATTCCGGGAACTCAAAAAATGTGTACAGCATTGTTAGTGGCGATGAATCGTGGATTTACTGATATGAACCAGAAAATAAACGGCAGTCGGCTATTTAGATGTTCCAAGGTGAAGAAAAGCCAACAAAAGTCATCCGTTCTCGAAGTGTTTCGAAAAAGATGGTCGCGACATTTGTGTCAAACGTCATATTGCAACAATTCCTCTTAACTAGCAAAGAACTGTTACTGCGAATTGGTATACCACTATTTGTTTGCCAAAAGTCATCACCGATCTTCGACAAATCAACCCCAAAAGAAGAATCATCCTCCACCAAGATAATGCAAGCTCGCACACAGCTCAAAAAACAAGTCAGTATTTAAAGGAAAAAAACGTGGAATTATTGGACCATCCTCCATATAGTCTCGATCTAAGTCCTAACGATTTCTTTACTTTCCCGAAAATTAAAAACAGACTGGTTCCGGTCACCAGAAGAAGTAGTAGTTGACGCATTCAAAAATGCCGTTTTGGATCTGCCAGCAAACGAGTCGAATAAGTGCTTCGAAAATTGGTTCGAGCGCATGCAGATGTGTATTAATCTTACACTTCGAAAAACAATAAGGTCATTTAAACCTACCGAGTTATTTTATTTCCATTTGCAAAACTATAGCAATTTCGGTGAAATCTTTGAAACGATTTTTGAAGTTATCCTTCAAGTTAGAGACTATTTCTACATGATATTTACTGTCATATGGTTTTAATGGACTTTGAGATATATTTTCTCAAACGACAGGAAAATGACTGGTATCGCCATCGATTAAGTTTTGCTCCCAAAACTCAAGCTTTTTGAAAAACGCTTTATCAGAAATCATTTCTGCTAGTTCTTTGTCTCTCCTCTGAAGCTGCAAATTGAGTTCACTTAATTTCTCTGTACCACATGTTATGTGCGGCAAGGACACATCCGTTCCAGTCTTGTAGAAAGGTTGTTGCAATTTGTAGAGTGGACTGTATTTTATTAGAAAAATGATTGAATGGTAATACAAATTTTTCTTGTACAAAATGGTATGCGTTCTGTCGACACCTGTTGTCCTGGTCTCGGCGTTTCGATGTCCCCGCGTCTCCGTCCCCATTGGCTGGCATTCAAAAACTGCCAGGCAGCGCTTGCGCAGTGGTTGTGGCTGGTGCACAGTGGCGCGCGCGTCAAATGACCATTGGCGTAACACCACAAGAAAACCAAAATCTCTAAGCCAGATTGAATTTTCCAGTTCCGGAATCGGTTCATCACGTTGTTTAAAATATTGAACTATGACAGATATGATATCATTAGAACGTTTCAGCACTCGTCCCCTACTTGACCATCGATCTTCAGAGTGAAGAAGTAGTTCCCTGTATTGACAGTCAATTTTATCGGCCAAGGTTTTAAATAATCTTCTTTGTAACGCTCGAGCTCCAATCTTGTTGACAATTTACTAAAAATTTTATACAGCTGTTTAGTTTTAGAAAATGTCCAGATAATGTTTGCTGATGGATAGTGTAGTGGTAACAGAAAAATTGCGGAAAACTTTCATCTTTACGACATAACCTCAAGAGACCCTTATCACGACCATAGCTGGGGCGCCATCGCCATTTTTTTCTCAGAAGAAATAATATTTTTAAAAGAAAAAACAAGTCCTGCCCAGTAGTCTGTCCAGTAGCGTAGCGAGTTGAGGGGTATGGGGGGGTATCTCTCCCTCCCCAATCTTTTCGGGAGTCGGCATTTTTGGAAGTGACGTGTATATATACTAAGTGTCATATAAATCCGAACACCCAGTTTAAATGGTTTTATTTTAATAAAAGTTGGTGAATGTATTTATCTTACAATCTAACAAGTGACAAAATGTTCAGCCTTATCAGTTGGACATTCCGGTTTTTATACTGCTTTTTTTTAATTCACTAACCCTCTAAAAATGAATATTTCAGCCGCAGTAAAGAATCAACGTTGGCGGATTTTGGTTCTTGACATCCTTTACGATCGGTTACGATGCCTAGAGTACGGAGACCTGTACGATTTCGTCAACTTAGTGAGTTTGATAGGGGCCGTATAGTGGGACTTCGGGAAGCTGGACTTTCTTTTCGGGCAATTGCAGTTAGAGTGCAAAGAAGTGTAGACACTGTGGTTAGGTGTTGTCAGGCATGGCTTCGAGAAGGCCGTACGCAAAGAGCAAGGGGCACTGGACGCCGCCGTAGAACAACAGACCGTGAAGATCGCCGCCTAAGATTATTGGCCTTAAGGGACCGTTTCTCCACTACCAGGTCCATTGCAAATGAATGGTTTGCAGAACACGGAAGACCTATTGGCATGCGAAGTGTTTACCGACGAATGAGAAGTTTTGGCTTGTTTTCATACCGGCCACACTGGGTCCTCCCTTTAACTCGAGAACACCGACGTAATCGCCTTGAGTGGTGCAGACAACGGTCACTCTGGGATCAGGAATGGAACAGTATTGTCTTTAGTGATGAGTCTCGATTTTGTTTAGGCATGCACGATGGTCGTGCCAGGGTTAGAAGGCGACGTGGTGAAAGGAGGAATCCACAGTTTTTTGTTGAAAGACATGTTCATCACACTGTTGGAGTTATGGTTTGGGGTGCTATAGCTTATGGTTCCAGGTCACCTTTAATCTTCATCAGAGGTAACATGAACGCGCAGCGTTATACCCACGAAGTTCTAGAACCCCATCTTTTACCCTATCTTGACACCCTGGCAGATCCAACTTTCCAACAAGATAATACCCGACCACATGTTGCAAGAGTCACAATAGACTTCTTTCAACATAATTATGTCACATTGTTACCATGGCCACCAAGATCTCCCGACTTATCCCCAATTGAGCACGTGTGGGATATGATGGGTAGGAGATTGCTCAATTTGCAACGTCCTCCTCAGACTGTAGAAGCACTTCGAGAGGAGTTGGTGGTTGCCAGGAATGAGATACCACATGAGAACATTGATCACCTGATCAGAAGCATGCCTAGGCGCGTTGGAGAATGCGTAGCACATCAGGGTGCATCCACACATTATTAAAGGTCAAAGGGCTTTAAAGCAGTGCAATCATTTTGAAATTTTTATCATTTACTTATTATGCTTCATTAAGTACTTATACAAAATTTTATTAACATAAAACCATTTAAACTGGGTGTTCGGATTTATATGTCACTTAGTATATTTATACACAAAAAAATTGTACGCGATTATAAACAAAAATTGACATTTTTCGGAAGCTTCCTACATACTTTTTATTCATCTTCTGTTTAGTTTCTCTTTTAGTATGTTATTATCGTGAAAAATTTCGTCTAATGTCTGTTAGTCGGAATTTATGAAAGTTTCACTTTCAGGAAATGCAGAGTACAAACTAGTCTTTTCAAAATGTCATAAAAAATTTATTTGAACTACGCGCTGTGGTGGTTATAAAAAAGGATATGGTTGACACGACTGATCTCCGAAAAGTCGGTGAAAAATGGTCTATTTTGAAACACCGCAGGGTAAAAATTTGAAATGAGAGTACATGTATGCATTTTTTTCTGCGTATCGTTCTGCTTTTCTATCTGTCTCTAATGATGATGTATATTCCTTTAATTTTCTAAAAATTCTTAATTATTATGTCCATTGTATTGTATGTATAAAGTATAAACTACAGTTTTGATCGCAATTAAGTGTAATACCATGTATTAAAATAAGTTATAAAATCGGCAATTTTTTTTACTGGTCGGCATTTTTTGTGAAATTACTCCCCCACAATTGCAAGGTTCGCTACGCCCCTGAGTTTGTCCTTTTAGTGGAATAAACTTCAAAAGATCTTCTTCAATCGTAAAATCACTAAAAACCAGCTTGACGAACACAGCCATCTGAGAGGTGTCAACGAAAGCTGCAGTCACTATCTCGTCTTTATTTCTAAAGCTGGCAAACGATGAATCTGTAGCTTCTGAAAACGGCTGTTTTATCATTTTCCCCGTCTTCATAAGGTTTCTTCTTTTGTGTAATTATCTGGGACATCCGGTATGATTTGCAGCCTTACTTTTGTCGATGGTTTTTAAAAACATTGTCCAGTTAACTGATTTTTTAATTGTTTCAGTTTTTCCGTTCTGGTTGCAGAATGTAACGGGAATGATTTCTCAAAATTCGAATCTACAGTTTTATAGTGTCTCTCGCTATTCCCTAATTTAGCAACGGAAACAGATGTATTGCATAACAAACATACATTTTTACCTTTGACTTTTGTAAATAAATATTGTCCTTCTCATTCCAAATGTAAATGGTATGTCTTCATCATCTTACTACTGCTCATAATGTTTCTAATTGCAGGTCAACTCTAACCCAACCGCTGGACTTTTAAACTGAGCGCACTGTCGCCGCACCTTGCGTATTTATTCCGTTCAAAGTAATTGAGATCGTTCTGGAACAGATCGCTCACGCGAATGTTGCCGCTGCTTGTCTTTATTATGAATTTACAAAACTTACGGAAGCTCCTATGATTTTCACACCTTTTTAAAACATGTTATGAGCCACCAGAATTGACGGGTTGGCGACCACTGCGTTCGGGAATTAAAATGAAAAAATCATTCCCAATACGAGAATTTGATAGTGTCTGGTGACTACTGTTTGTCACTTTGAAAGAGAAAAAAATCTCCCGGTAGTTCATCTCCTGCATTTCTCTCATGATCAGCGTAATTTAGACGACGAGCGTTGGTATTCCCGTCTATACAGACAGTGTTCGTTCTGTAATATCCTTGAAAGGAACAAGGCCGGTCATAAAGGAATTTCTTCAGTGGAGCGGCACGGAGCCTCGCAGTAAAAGTTCTAACGAAATTGAAGTCGCTTCAGAACAGACGTGGATCTAACTCCGATGGAACAATGTTGCCACTCCCACCATGCAGGAATACAGAATTGGATTAGTATAGGTTTGTATAGAAGAGGGAATGTTTTTTTGTCTTCTGTGAAAACAAGATCGTAGTTGTTTTTACCTTTAAAACAAATAATTTACACAAAATTATGTTTTTGACCTCTGCGCAATAGGTGACGCTGCAAATAATAATAATAATAATAGACGTCTTTGTTTATCCACAATTACATTGTAGTATAGCCAAATGTCAGATTTACAAGGCGAAGTTTAGCATGCTGCTACTCTTACACTTAACCATATAGTCTCTAGCAGATGTTCAAAAGAATACACTATCCACAAACAGATTTGGTTCATTACATCGAAAGTAAAATTTAAAAAAAAGAGAAAGAGGCATACTTTCCAAACCCAAATGCACCAAAAAATTACACTGGACAACAAGTTTTAGTTTTTTAATTGTATCTTGTGGGAAAAGTGCATTTCTTTGTTAATTTTGGGGCGCTGAATCCAAAAATGACAATGAAATAAAAAAATTAGTTGTAGTTTAGAAAAAAAACTTTTTATTTTTAAGGATATATTAAAAAAAGTAACAAGATTCATATACTTATAAGAATCACTATATGCGCTGTCTTTTTGCTGTTCTTTTATGGATCGTTTCTGGAGCATCTCTACCAAGAGTCCAACATTAGTCTGCAAGCATGGAAGGATTCCACTTTCCCTGGTACCTTTTTTCCATTGTTGAAATATCCTGATGAAAACGTTCGCCGAGCTCATCACTTACGGCTCCGCAATTGTCAGGAAAAAAGTCCAGGTGTGAGTGTAGGAAATGTATCTTAAGAGACATATTACAGCCCATCTTTTGATACGATGACAGCATATTTTTGACAAGGGTTTTATAGTTGTCAGCTTTTCTATTTCCCAAGAAATTAGTGACCACCAGACGGAAATCATTCCAAGCAGTTTTTTCAATACCTGTTAAAGTGTTTTCAAACTGTGTATCTTTCAAAATATTTCGAATCTGTGGCCCAACAAAAATACCTTCTTTAACCTTTGCCTCACTTAGTCTTGGAAATTTCTGACGCAGGTATTGAAAAGCTGACCCATCGCTATCTAATGCCTTGACAAAGTTTT